GTAGAAAAATTGTAACGGAGCCGATTTTCTATCGGCTTTGCCCGGCATTCCGCTTGCCGGACAGTTCGGTCGGCGCCAAGGATCGGAGAGGGAAAGGCGTAAAATTGCGACACTCGGTAGTTTTAATGCTGTAATGTATCGTTGATTTATTTGGTCTTGAATCTTGGTTATACAAAACGCTAGTTTTGTTAATTATTACTTCTGAATAATTAATTTTAACGGAGAGCGATAATTTCACGGTCGGTCCGGCGCGGATACGTTTGTTCGGCGGCACAGATTTCTCGGCGGCGCGAGGATAGATCGCAGCGGTGTTTCTTAAATGTAAATCTTATTCTACGGGGAAGGGATGCTATCTACACGGGCGGTATGTACAGCGGAGAGATGTTCTCGAGTCATGAGAACGACTGGTTGCCGATGCGGCGGCTACGGCGGCCGGTTGAGTCGTAAGAACGACTGTTTCGGTGAGTCGTGAGAACGACTATTTTTCGGTGTGGCGGTTACAACGGCCGATTGGATCTCCGGGGCTCGTGAAGCCCACAAAGATCACGTGCACCGAAGTGCCGGAAAGGATCGAGACAACGCCTCGATCCGCACGGTCGGAATGGTGTTCGAGACAATGCCTCTAGCACCGAGTTATGTCGAGACAACGCCTCGACCGGACGGTTAGGATGGTGTTCGAGACAACGCCTCTAGTACCAGGTTCTGTCGAGACAACGCCTCGACCGGACGGTCAGGATGGTGTTCGAGACAGCGCCTCTAGCATCGAGTTCTGTCGAGAGAACGCCTCGACCGGAGGATTTCTAAGTCCGAGACAACGCCTCGGCTGCAGGAAGGATCGCTCTGAAGACACCGCCTCGAAAGCTCGGGAAAGGAACTGGTCTCGACTGCCGAAATCGGCCGACTTATATACTCCGGAGCGGCCTACGGTTCGTCCGGGGTCGGCGTGCGGTACGCGCTTGTTTGCGCGCCGTGTCGCACGGGTACAGGTCTTCGTTCGTTCACGTGTGTTCTGTGCGCTCTTACTATCTATAGGATAGTTTTATATATTATAGAAGGGTGGTTCTATAGTGAGCTCAACGTATAATATAATATAGATGATACAAAATGATATAGATAATACAAATACAATAGGTAAAAATAATACAAAAATAACATAAAATAGATAATATAAAAAATAAAATAATATTAATATATAATAATATATGAAGTAGAAAAAAGAGAGAGAGAGAGAAAAGAGTCAAACGTATAATTGGAAGGAGTATTATGGTGGCGAAGTTCGCCTTGTCACAAAATTAATTCGCAATTATACGCCATGTAATACGCGTGATGTAGGAGTAAAAGTGCGAGTAAGTATGAAGGATGAAAGGCGTGTGTATCAAACCGTTCGAAGGTTATCGCCGCTTGAGCGAAAAGTTGTGAATGAGCAGGTAGCTGAATGGATGGAGCAGGGTGTAGTAGATCATCTTCGTCAGAGTACACTAGCCGGTGGTGCTCGCGAGAAAGAAGGATGGCGCATATCGTTTGTGCGTAGATTATCATCTACTTAATCGCAATGTTTTGAAAGATTGCTATCCTTTGCCCTTGATCGAGGACCAGTTAAACCGATTACAAGGATTGATGGTTTTCAGAACGCTAGATTTGGAGAATGGTTTCTTCCTTGTTTCGGTGGAGGAAAGCAAATACACCGCGTTTATAGTCTCAGACGGTCACACTATGAGTTTTGCCGCGTGCCGTTCGGTTTATGTAATTCGCCGGCTATATTCCAGCGTTTTATAAATGTTGTATTTGCCGAGCTGATTCGAGACGGTACGATATTAACTTACTTATTGTTAGATGATTTAATAGTACTTTCAAAGGAGTGCGAGTAGCATTGAGAAATTAGACCGAGTGCTGAAAACCGCGAGCAAAGCAAGGTTGAGAATCAAATGGAAGAAATGCCAGTTTTTGCGCAGGAAAGTAGAATTTTTAGGACATGTGGTGGAAAATGGGTGCGTACGGTCATCTGAGAATAAAATTAAAGCCGTAGTTTGTTTTCCAGAGTCCACCGATGCGAGACGACTGTAGAGTTTTTTTAGGATTGGCTGAATATTTTAGGAAATTGTAAACGGCTATTCAACAATCGCTCGACCTCTTACCGATCTGTTGAGAAATAGCGCAAAATTCGAGTGGGGAAAAAAATTGCGCAAAGAAACGTTTTTGTTGAGCTGAAGATTAAGCTGAGTGCAAAACCCGTGTTGAAAATCTACGAGATTGGAGCAGAGATCATGCTAACGCATCAAAATGTGGTTTTGGAGCTATACTGTTGCAGCAGTGCAATAAAGATTAGAAGTTTCGTCCGGTTTATTATTGGAGCAAAAGAGCAAACGCTTTGGAAGAAAAGTACTGCAGCTATGAGCTGGAGGTCTTAGAAGTAGTGAGAGCTCTTGGAAGATTTCGCGTGTATTTATCCTTCAGAATTCTGATGGACTGCCAAGTTTTTGTCATAACCATGAAGAAGAGAGACTTGAGTGTCAGAGTAGCTCGTTGGGGGAGGGGAGGTCTGCGGCTCGAAAAGTTTGATTACAGGATTGAACATTGTCCAGGAAAAAGTATGCTTTATGTAGACGCGCTTAGTCGAAATCCAATTCCCGACTATATAGTGTTGAATAAACAGCATGGCATGATGGATTATTGGCGAAACTCCAGCAAGCGGAATGATCCGTGAATAAATAAGCTACGTGAGAGCTTAGAAGCAGACAAGTTAGACGAATATGTGGTCTGCAGAGGATTGTTATACAGGGTTGACAAAGGAGATACACGTCTAGTAGTGGTACCGGAATCAATGCAGTCGCAGGTGTTTTGGAGAGTGCATGATCACGGACATTTCTCAGCAACCAAGACTGAAGCTGCTGTTAGACGCGATTATTGGATCGCGAATCTGAAATCTAAGGTGGAGAAAGTTCTAGCCAAAAGGAAACAAGGCAAACAAGAAGATTGGCTGCATGTGATAGATAAAGGAAGCGTTCTTTTGTATACTTACCATGTGGATCATTTCGGACCATTGGAGTCATCCGCAAAAAAATAAATAAACATCTGTTTGTGATAGTCGACGCCTTCACAAAGTACGTGCGGCTTTTATCTTGTAAAAACCACGGGAGCAGCTGAGGTTATTAGTAGGCTGCGTCAGCAAGCAACAATATTTGAGAATCCGAGAAGATTGGTGTCAGATCGAGGAACAGCTTTTACGAGCAACAAATTTCGATAGTACTGCGAGGAAGAAGGTGTGCACAGCATATTTTGACAACAACCGGAATACCACGATCAAACAGTCAAGTCGAGAGAATAAACAAAACTGTTATACCTCTTCTCACTAAATTGGCTGTACCAAGATCGGTCGAATGGTATAAATATGTTGACGGTACAAAGATGTGTCAACTCTATGTTACACTGAAGTATTGGTGACTCGTCTTTTAGAGTTTTTTTCCGGGATTTAAAGATAATATCGGAATCGTTGATGTATTCCAGCAGGAAATAATTCAGAAGTTTGATAAAGAGCGAAGCGAGATCATGTCAGATACGAACAAGCTGAAACCATATTTTTCATTTTTAGAAAATTACAAGGCGACTTAGTCTTTGTTCGGTTTAAGCGATGTGGTGGGGATGAGACCGTTACATGTATCTTGAATATGGAGGGGGCCGCTCAGTCTGTTAGTTACATTCGAAGCGAAAGGACGTTTTGCGTCCTGTTGCGTAATACTGACGGTTACNTGACTGCCATTTCCGCCTCTCTCTTTTTTTCATATTAAATATCTATGTAGCATATCTTTTTTTATCTATATTCTTCATGATCTTGAATAGATCATTATTTTTTTGTAAGTTTTTATAAAAACACTGAAAAAGATCCCATAGTGGATCGAAACGTTTGTTAAAAAACTTTTTTAAAATCTTAGAATTATAAAAGAATTGTACCCGAACATCTGGTGTTAGCTTCTTATTGCCATTTTCTTATTTCTTTTTATTTGTATTGGGAGTACAAATTAGTTCGGTCCGTTCCCAAAAGATGGCTCCGACTATTGTGAATGGTTCATAGTGACAGCTGATTTTGGCGGTTACAGAGAAATTAGACATCTGTTAATAATATTTAGTTTATATTGCTTTGAGTTTTATACAAAAACCTTGATTTTTACTGTGTTTGAAATGTCGAATTTTGTGTTAACCAAGCAGCATTTGCGGGAGATTTTAATTTTCTGCTGTAATTGGAAGAAAAGTGCAGCTGAAGCCCATCGAATGCTTGTCGAAGTTTATGGTAACACTGCTCCAACTGATAAATCATATCGAGAATGGTTTCGACGTTTCAAGGATGGAGATTTCAGCGTTGAAGACAAGCTTCGCTCTAGACAGCCAAAAAAATTCGAAGACAAAGACTTGGAGGCATTACTCGAAGAAGATCAGAGTCAAACGCAAGAGGAGCTTGCAGAATCATTGGGAGTACCTCAACAAGCCCTTTCTGTACGATCATGAAAATGATTCAAAAACAAAGAAATTGAGTGCCTTATGAACTGAAATCAAGAGACGTTGAAAGGCGATTTTTCACTTGCGAGTTGCAGATTCAAAGGCAACAAAGAAAAGGGTTTTTGCATCGGATTGTGACTGGAGATAAGAAGTGGATATTCTACGATAATCCCAAGAAGAAAAAATACTACGTTAAGCCCGGTCAATCGTTGCCATCGACCTCAACATCAACACCAAAACCGAACATGCATGGTTCGAAGATCATGCTCTGTATCTGGTGAGACTAAAAGAGTGTTGTTTACTATGAGCTGCTGAAACCTGGCGATTCCATTACAAACGATCTGTATCAGCTAAAATTGATTCGTTTGAGCCGTGCATTGCAAGAAAAACGGCCGGAATACGAGCAAAGACATAATAAAGTTATTCTTCTTCATGACAACGCTCGGCCTCATGTTGCAAAAGTCGTAAAAAAATATTTGAAAACGCTCAAATGGGATGTTTTTCTGCACCCGCCGTATTCTCCGGACATTACTCCTTCTGATTACTGGTTGTTCCGAAGGATGCAGCACGATTTGGCAGGTCATCGGTTCACTTCTTTCGCAGAAATCGAAAATTGGCTCCAAACTTGGATCGCCTCCAAAGACGAGTCATTTTTTCGAGATGGAATTCGAAAATTGCCTGAGAGATGGGAAAAAGTAGTAGTCAGCGATGGACAATACTTCAATTAATCTGTTCATTCATTTTGTTTTGAAATAAATGCATTTTTGAACACAAAAAAACGGACCGAACTAATTTGTACTCCCAATATTTGCGTTGTAAGCGTGAGCAGGAAGGGTTACGCCCCGGAAAAACCTAATCTAACTTAACATAACCTAACCTAACCTAACTTTGTGTAACTACAACAAGTGCGTTCGTTTTGGACACTTCCGCACTTTAAGCATTAATCCGTCTTTAAATGCTTTTTAAATCCTCTTTAAATGTAAAACAAAGATGGACTGACACTCAAAGCACATAAAGCGCCAAAACAAGTTGGTAAACCAAATCTTTCGCTTAGACAAATCACGCACCTTGTCAGAAATAACATTGGAAAGTAGATTTACAAGCCATTTTTCTTTTAGACTTTTCTTAAATTCATTGTTGTTCTTTAAAAAAGAAGAAAATACAAATCTCCTCAATATGTGACTTATTAAAAGGATGAACCGTCCTGATTTATCAACGGAATACGTCATTTTAGTAGATCTAATTACTTTCATTATTTACTGTATTAAATCAAAACCGCTTTTACAAAAGTAAAGAACGTAAAATAACACATCTTGGAGTAACACTTTGACCACTGAAAAGGACCAAAAGTTACACTTTTTTACAATCACTTGATCATATTTTTTTATTTTTAAACAATTTTTAAGCATTGTATAAATATGCAGGCACTAGACCGAGAAGCCGATGATATACAAGAATATAATGGAACTTTCAGAATGTAATTTTATTGTCTAGTTTACGAGAATAGTTAGATCTTCTAATGAAGTACATACGATAGTAGGAAGGATTCGCACACAAGCAGACAGTCGCGTACGTGTGCATATCTCTTCCACTATCAGACGGACAACCGAACGAGAGACAAAAAAGAGATATACATATATATCTTTGTATAGTGGGCACCACCTACTGAACAGCGTAACAGCAAAAAGCAGCTGTTAAGCCAGTAATAATTTTCTGTAAGAGATGTCGTTTACATTCCAGAGAGAGTATTGTATTTTTTCATTTATCCTTTTAAATATCGTTAAAATTTCGAATTTATAGATAGAATTTACTTATGTTTCAAAAATAAAAGGTACTTTAGTAATTAGGTCCAATAAGTCTGGGTGCAGGAACTATGAACAAGGAGATCACGAGTTTGAAACCATCCAACATCTTAGGATTTTTCCGGGTCGATCCATTCTAATCGAGTATATAAGCTGAAAGGCGGAACAGTATCGGGCCTTCAAGAAGAAAAAAGGGTGAAAAATATTTCTTACAGAAATGCCGAGTGATATTACTATTGCCAATATACTAGTATTTCAATAATAAAATTGTATTATTATTTTTCTGTAAGAGTTCTAAACAATTACCAAACTTTTTTTAAAAAATATTAATATAAAAGATATGGTCTTATTCTGTAAAAGTTCTTAGGATGTCCTACACATATATCCTGTAAGAATTCTTGGAACGTTCTACATAATAGCCTAAGGATAATTCAGGGACTAAAAAGGGACTAAAAACTTGCTCTTCCTTAGGACATCTAGAGGAGATCCTAGGATTCACATAGGATATCCACAAGATATATGTTTTGTCCGTATAATATGTCTTTTAGATTTCCAAAGGACGTCCATGTGCTATCGGAGTGAGTTGATATATTTTATCAATAAGATGTTACTATAGTAAACTTTTAAGTTTGTTTGTAATATATTAAAAAATATATATTGTAACTTTCTTTTCAATAATAAGACTCAAACTTTTGAATGAGACTATCGCACAAGTACTATCTTAAATGTCGCTTCATGTTGAAAGTATGCGGTTTTTTCAAGAGGGTGCAGGGGGAGGGCAAAACCTCCCTTTGTTTACACGCTTACAGCAAATAAAATATACATATTGTCGGAAAATAAGAGTTTATTTATGAAACTTCTTTTGTTAATAACTTTTTGACAAACAACGAGCGACGGCTAAAACCTTTTGATTGTTACTCAGCAATATGTCCTTGACAACATATGTCAAAGTCATTAATTTCTGAAGGGGTTGACCTTTTGTAAATATTTACCATTTATTTTAATATTGATAAATGTGTACAGTAAGTAATAGACTTACATTCAGGATCCTTGTAGAGGTGCTCGATTGGCATGTTGTCCACATTATCGATAATAATATCTTCAATGATCTTTTCAACGAATTTTTTGATCGCGTATGTTATACGTTTATTTTCCTGATGCTCCTGAGTCTTCTCTGTGTTTGGCGCTTCATGTCCTGGAAAAATATCATATCCTTGCAATAAATAAATACGCGCCATTTTTCAATCTTTGGTGTAGAAATGTTATTTTATATTAGAAAAATGATGCTTTTTCTACTGATAAGTTGAATTTTCAAATAGTAAAGGTAAAAAATGTGCGTGCAGTGTATGATAATATGAACTTTCTTTATGAACAATCTCAAATATCACGTGATCTCGTAACATATCACAATAACATTTGATGTTTATCTCAAATATCGTTTATTTCACGATCTCGTATAATCTTTTGGTGCATTGTGAAGCTATCGCGTAACGTGTCACGTCAAATTCATCGGCAAATCCGTTGCAAAGTGAAGAAAAATCGGCTTTTTAAATCTTGGACCGTACACCTCGCGTCGTTTGTTAGATCGCCGCTCTCTTTTCCAATCAAACACCGTTGAGTCACATAGCGGATTGCGAGACGCGTAAACTAAACAATAAGCATTGTGAGAGTTCTATCGTTCAAATCTGCTTCTGTTACGCGACTTTTCTATCTCGGAACAAAGACGTACACAGCGCGTCACTGAATCGCGGAATAGGCGCGGGGATCGGAGGGTAAGCGGGCTGTACGATTCATACGGCGCTTGTTGGCGAGCAACCGTCCCGCTTGCTCTCCGATCCCGCGCCTATTCCGCAATTCAATGATACACTGTATACAGAATCGAACCAAATAATGTATATAAACAAGTACGTGATACCTCATGAAAAAATATATTTGTACATTTTTTCATGTACGCTTGTACATATTATTCGGCCAAATCCTATACATGTACATATATCAATAAGACACAACATACTATGTAAGAGTAAAAGAAAAAATTAAACAAAAAATTTCTATCAGTCATTATAGAAATTACCTTCGATGTAGACTTGTGATTTAGCGGTGCCGAAGATGTTGTGTAACTCTTTCTTATTTGCCACGCCGCCGAAGGTTTCAAACCATTTTTTGCTTCTTGTCATGTATGACCTTTAACAAGATTAATTTGATCTTTTCTTTCTAAATTTGTTTTTATGAAGAATAAAACTTCCGAATTAACATGCGATGAGTAAAATTATTACTGCGGAAATTTCTGTTGGTGACAGAATATGCAAAGCCAGGTAGTGTCTGATGTGTTCCAGCGTGAGCAGACTTTTCTGCAGATTCTACTGCCGCAATTGCTGCAGCGCACACTGCGGCTGAGACAAAACGGTGCCAAGCAACAGGCGCAACGTCCGTCGTTCACATCTGATCGCTTCGTTTCCTTGGCCTTTGTGTTTTTCCTGAAATAGTTTTAGCATTGTAAGCAATTAGGAGTCCAAAATACGTATATAATAATTTATTCACTAAAAACAAGGAAATAATTTTATTTCTAGTATCTGACATTATCACGTAATATCCATTTTTTGCAGAAAGTTTTTAATTATAACACAAAATTTATAAACACAGTCATGAGAGCCTTACACTGGGTGTTTCTTGCGGAAATGTATATATAGGGTGTTCCATCTTAAATAATGGATTTTAATATCTCTTCTGTAGCTCGCATAGACAAAAATTGTTCAAACAAAAATTGCATAATTTGAAGAAGGACACATGATAAAAATACGGACTGGACTTCGAGTGACCTTTTCAAGGTCAAGTCAAAGTCACCTAAAACTTTTTAAATGAAAATCTTCATTTTTTAATTTATATTCTTGTAGCTGATTTCAAGACCTTTTCAAAACTAGATTAAATACTTTTTGAATTATGAGACCCGAAAGTTAACAGACATAAAGGTTAAATCTTAAGCTTAATACCGTAAAGCTCAGCTTAATATTTTAAAGCAATTAAGTTTGAGACTAAAAAAATGATGACTTTGGTTGACTTTGACATGTTTGTGACATCTTCAGACTCAGGTCGAGATCACCTTGAATTTTGTTAATACATTTTTTTTTTAATTTTTATATTCTACTTTTAGTGTTACCCAGAAACAACGGCGTGAATGTAATAGTTTCTGTTCTCGTTTATTTTTAGCATATTTATTATGTTAATAGCACGATAAGCAACGTGAGATGCAAGGGAAACTAACGTAAATAAAGAATTCTAAAAGGAACAGAAACTTTTTTCTGCAACCGTTAAATATTCCAAACAATTAAAATGATGTTTTTTATGTGTCAAGACAAAATATTGAAAAAGCTGTTAATTTGTATGCTTTGTGGTACCCTAAAAAAAGATATCTATCACGTCGTACATTTTATCGTATAGTTAGACACTTTATACTGTAAATGTTTCTATTAACATCTTGAAAAACAGAAGTCCTACAAAAAACTGTTTCAGACAAAAGTTATGCGTTGTTTTCTGTAGATTAAGTTTATTACAAGTTTGGGTCATTCCGAAATAAAAAGTATATATTTACGATATAAAAAAAAGACGATCTTGCAATGACCTTGAAAACGCCCACGCATTAAAAAACTAATAGTGCCATTTGAATTCTCACTAAAATACTGAAAGACATGTGTCAGCTGATTTTTTTTAAATCAGTTGTCTACGAGATTTTTTGCTGTGTCAACTTAAATGGGACACCCTGTATATTTTTGCAACACCCAGCAGCGTAAGGTTCTCCTAACCGTTTAAATATTTTGCGTTTAAAATTTCAGAGACTAAAACTCTATATTAATTGTTAACTATAACATATTATTACATGTATAATATGTTATTCAAACATTATATAATTATGAATATTATTTACAATATTTTTATAATATATATTTTTAGTATACAGCGTTGAGAGAGAAAAAGAGAAAGAGAGAGAGAGAGAGAGAGAGAGAGAGAGAGAGATGTATTGATTTGAGAGTTTTTATTTATTTAAAGTTATTAGGATTGACACACATGCGCAATAACAAAGGAGCAAGTAGACGCTTTCCAGTTCTAGTAGCGTACAAAAAGATTTATTAAAAGTTAAAAGAATTTAAAAGTTAAAAGAACTTTTAATAAAATAAAGAATACAAATATTGTAAGAAACAAGTTTATTAGACACATTTGTAAATATAACTCTTTGCGGAACTCGTTACGGTAAAAATGCTTGGTTTGTTGTTCGTAAAAAGTTAATAACATTAACGTTAGTTTTAGTCGTAAACGTTAGTTTTAATACAGACAAAATATGTTCATTATTTATATGTTGCAGGACAATAAAATTTAATTTTGAATTATGTGTTAATACAAGTTTTTTTCATAAAAATGTTAATACAAAGATTTTATCATGTATAAACTTCTCTATGACGATAAACAATGCAAATAAACATAAGGCTAAACAAAAAATTGAAATAATCGTAGAAAAAACGTGTATCATACAATAAAATCACTTACATTTAAATTTTTATATATATATATTATAAAATTTATATATATATATATTATAAATTTTTATATATATATTATATTTATTTTTCTATAAAGTTACAACAATCCATTTTAGTTATGTCAAAGTTTATTTATAGTCATTATATATTAACATTAGTGTAACTGTAAAATAACCGCGTTTATTGCATATACATCACACAAATATTACAATACGCATGTATACCTTACAAGGTTCTTTCTCTGCAAAAATATAATACAAAAATTTAATTTTATATTAATGTTATTTTATTTTTCCATGAAAGTAAAATAATGAAATATTTTTAAAGAGTGTAAAGAACTTTTTATTTGTTTCTTTTAAATGTACTTATATAAATGTTGCAAAAATACGATGTTTACACCGAATTACTTGTAGACGTTCGGTGATAAATTTCAGACATACTTTACAGTAGTATGCGAGAACTAACATGAAATACAATAATCGTAACTCATGACACTATGAGGAAGAGAATGAAAGAAATAGAAAATATTTATAAACAGATATATATACATTTTTGCGTAATAATAATAGTATATATAAATAATAGTATATATATGCGTTTCTAATTGGTTTTCTCGCGATTGTACATAATATATTACTTAATAATTTATTTGAGAGAGAAAAACAGTCAAATCTCGAATCTATATAATGTCGACATTGTTTCTTTCATATGTTGAAATAATTAATTGTAATAATTTATTGTACAAATTATTATTTGATTACTGAAAAACTGACATTGTTATTTTATCATTAAATATCGATATTTTTAAATGAATTTTTTAGAAGTGCATTTTTTGTGCGATAATTGAGATATTAAATAAATTAGTTGAGTTATGCTATTTTTTCTATTTTTACAATTGTTTTCAGTATTATTGGTTACTGAAAACTCGTTGACGATTACAAATCGTACTCCTCGGCGTCGAAGAATCTTGCGGCCGCACTTAGAGGTGACGAGGGATGACTGTCGTCATCCTGTTCTAAATCGGCGGTAACTACTTTCACTACTACAACCTCAATTGTAATCAACAGGAAGAGGACCATGAAAGTTGCCATGTTGTATTTCTCTTGACCAGGCACGACTTTGTCATTCTCTATGAGAATCGTCGACATCAAGCTAAAGACGTAAGCCATCAGCATCTTACTGATCAGGAAAGATGCTTTTTCATTACAAAAAAATAGACAAAAAAGTACCTCTCGACTCTTGAACTTTGTGTGACTTTTTTTTGAGAGAGAAATTTTCTTTTCTTGTCGCGTTCCGCAATCTTAATTTATTGAATCTATGTAGTTGAATGTGGTGATTCGGCGATTCTGCATCTGGATCGCGATTTACTCGCGCGGCAAGGGGTCATCTGTTTCACATTTTCATGCTGGCCACGTGCTCATGCAGAAATGCGCGGCTTTCTAATGCAATCCTTTGAGAGTTACGTTGATTTACGTAACGCCGTGCGGAATTATACAGTTACGTCTGAGTTTTATTATAATGCGTTTAATAGGTTTCTAACGCATGAACACGGATGGTTCAGGTAATGAAGATTATCCAAACACAGAAAAATCGATTCGATGTAAAACGTTTAGATTTCGATTGTCCGACCTTTGCGACAAATGCAGTTTGAGAATCGAATATCTGTAATTTTCTCCGGTAATTAATTTTCTCTTTATTAAATTTTTTATCTCTTCTTTGAGTGATCTAATTTTTCTGTTTTTTGAAAAGATCTCTTGGTGATTTCGCCGAAGAAACTGATTGTTTCTTTATTAATAGGCATTCGTTGATTCGCGATTGCGTTCTATCTTCGCGATCTCAAATTATTTTTCTTTCTCACCAACACCGGTTACGTAGAGAAGATCTTGATTCAACTTCCATGAAGTATGCGCTTCTTCTTATTTTGATTAATTTTTCTTAATTTTACACTTGACTGTTATATCGTAAGAGGAAAAAACCGCATTTCTTTAACTTCTGTCTTCTTTCCTCCTTGTATAATCTTACTGTTTAACGCTTCGCGCTTTTTCTTCAAGTTAATTTCCTTATTTTTCCTTATTTTCTCTGATTGTTCCACGAAAACTGTTCGGATAAATCTTGACGTGTGAGATCTGGTTTTAAGCTGAATCTTGACTCGGCTTCTCTGAACTAAGTATTCCGATTTTTAATGAGACGTTGTCTGAAGAACCGATCTTTCGAAAACTGAAGTTGTATTTCAACTTGTATAATGTCTCGAGACAGAAGTACACGAGTCGTGGACTCGATTGCGAATGCTAATTTGTCCGGTGTGCTATTTTCGGATTACTTGGCGCCCGCAGAACCGGCGTGATCGTATTCTTGTACCGGACTGTTGGTTCGAAAGTGACAGTAAACCGTCAGTGGCCAGGGAAACTTCGTGGTTATGCGTGCCGGTCTCGAAGGTCCCATGGTAGGAATTTCTGTCTTCGTAGTGTTCGCACGATCGTGTATGTTCCTTTCTCTTTTGTTTTCGTTCTCTTTCCGTCTTTCTTTCTTTCTTCTCTTCTCTTTCTTTTCAGTTGGTAATCTAGCAGTTGGTGCAATTGGAAGAAAACTTTCACTGAAGTTTGGTAGTGGTCGAACTGTATTCGATAATAGTGAAGTTAGGCTGATCAACGCAATCTTTATAACTCTTTGCTTTTTCGTCCCGTGACATAAATATATTTATTTATGAATTTTTGCACACATTGCAAGCGTACATATCTATAAGTGACGTAATATAGAAAGTTCAATCGCGACGCAACACAGATAAATTTGAGGTCGCGAGATGTTAATACGATCGGTGTAAAGGTCAATATAGATACTCACGTTCAAAATATCTTTTACAATAAAGTGTGTATATATTGATTTCATTTGACTGATTTTTGCGAACACCTTTTAACGAAGATGTGATTTTAAAAATAGAATCTTTATCAAATATGATGACATTTTCTTCGCCAAATTTGGAGCAATAACAATTAGAAATTCACAGCGAATCCACAGTGATTCTGTGTCGATTTTTGCCTTTGTTTGTTTTCTCATTTTCCCGCACATAAAATACATATGTGCAACTTTACTGTGTTCTATATTACGTCACTGTAATTCAAATTACGTAACCCTGTCGTATAATTTTTTATTTTTATAGATGTTTTCCAATTCTTATATAATTAATTGTCTTGTTATAAAAATCTTGTAAATAAATTTTCTCACACATACATTTTTTGCATGGATTAGAGAGTATTCATATAATCTTTAAACTGTGATTTTAAATTTTTTGATCAGTATCTTAACTCAAGTTGTAGCGTATTAATATTGTTTTTGTTAACAAAATTATTAAAATACTTTTCACATAAAAGGACATGCAATGAATTTGACATAGCAAATGAATATTAATGAGTAACAGTAATTTATCGAGTGTTCTTCTAGAAGCTGCATTACCTTTTACGTTTATACAATACAATTAAACAAGAACCTGATAATATGTGTATATATATATATATATAT